TTACACCCTTTTCAACTAAAAATAAAATAATTACATAAGAGATCCTGTCTGTGGGGTCGAGCTCTCGCCAGCTGTGCTTCTTCATAGCATGCACGACCTGCTGGTTCTCTCGGGAGCTGCTTTGCACAGTCCATCAAAAACCTAACGTTCTTTGATGACTCTAAATTGGCCGTAGGTGTAAATACTCTTAGCCTTGTGATGACCTGTTGAGCTGTCCAGGGTGTCCCCTGCCTCTCGCCTAATGAGAGCTCCAGCCCCGGTGACGGTGAAGTGGTTAAGCAGAGAAATGAATGTATATTGGCTTAAGTAATGATATCCGGTTTTTCGTCTTCCCATTGGTAGATTACGACAACGAAGAAGAGCTGTGTAGAAATTTGAAGTATGTGCTTCAGGACCTTCCCCAGTTGAACTACGGTCTGTTGCGTTTCCTGTGCCGCTTCCTGGCTAGCGTGGCGTCACTTCAGCAAAAGAGCTGGGATGTCGGAGCGCTGGCCGCCGTCTTTGGACCCGACATCTTCCAGTAAGATTCTTCTGCAGTTGTTTAAGAATTTCAAATCGTAATTTTGATCGTTGTACACAGCTGCCGTCTCCATCTCACAGATGTTTACTTTTAACTTAATGCGGATGGTGTGGATATGTCACTAGTATATATTCAGTACTTCATTACTTGTTTTAGAACTCCTGCTGCTTGTATTCAAAAGCTTCATTGTTACATCTTCAGTGGAAATTATTAATCAAGTGCAAATGATCAGATTATAAAGCTGTAAAGTCAGCGGAAGGAAACTCTTGAAGCCGTATACCACATCACATTTAATGAAGCCACAGAATAGAGTGACAGCTGAATATCTATTTTTTTTTAAAAGAGGGAAAGAAGTTTTTATTTTTGGCACTTGCAGGAACACGCTTACACAGAAGTTAAAAAAAGAGGGGTGTTTATTCTCGTGGGAAGCAGTGTGCAGCCAACTCAAACTTTTCTGTCATTTTCCATCTGCAGTCTGTCAGCAGGAGGAGAGGACCTTCGGGACCAGGAGTCTGTCAGCAGAGTCCTGGCAGAGCTGCTGGACAATCAGGAGGGCCTGTTTGACTCGGAGGACGATGATGTCTCCACCACCAATGACTACAGCTCCATCAATGAGCAGGTTCGACCCAACTCTTATACCACGCCTCTCAGTGGGGCTGCTCAATTAATCGAATTTTAATCTCGATTACGATCTGGGCTTTCAACGATCATTAAAAATGAC